TTTTGTTGGAGAAGCCTGAGCTTGGCTCAGGTGGTGCCTCCTCACCCAGAGGGGCTGCCCTGTGCTGCTGCTTGGAGCTGCGAGCCTGCCCCAGCCTCACCTCTGTGGATGTACTGAGCCACCATGCGGAAATCATCCTGCCGGAAGCCACGGGAGGTGAGAGCTGGTGTCCCAAACCTCAGACCGCTGGGGCGCAGGGCACTGACATCACCTGCACCAGAACAAGCCACGTGTGAGCAAACCCATCACTGGTTCAGTCTGGTTCCCAGCAGCCAGGGTGGGCCTGGAGCTGGGATCCCTGCACAGTCCATAGCAGATCCCCAGGTGAGGCAGAGCTTCTGGGATCCCTCACCAGGGCACGTGTTCTTGTTGCAGGCGATGGAGCAGAGCTCCAGCACCTTCTCAGCCCGGCTGCCATCTGTGCCTTTGCTGCGCAGGTCCACGAGGATCAGGTGGTTGTCGGTGCCCCCTGCAAAGAGAGAGGATGGTGGGGACGTGGGATCGAGTTGGGCTCTGCTCCCATGGGAAACTTCAGCAAGGAAAGGCTTGGGATTGCATAGGGCCCCTGGTTCTGGGGGCAGAAGGAAGCTCAGCCCTACCCCTCCACTGAGACCCATCCTCACCAGTGACGATGTCGTAGCCCAGCTCTGTCAGCGCTGTGGAGAGCACCTTGCAGTTCACCACCACTTGCTGCTGGTAGGCTTTGAACTCGGGTTTCATGGCCTGGTGCAGCGCCACAGCCACCCCTGGAGGAAGGCAGAGCAGGGTGAGTTTGGTGCATCCCTTGGGATCAGCTTTGGGAGATGCATTCCTTGCATCAGCTTTGGGAGAGCTGATGGGAATGTGTGGCACTGCCAGCACAAGTCATCCTGGAAGCTGAGCAAACAGGGACAGTCCCTTTCCCTAGGCAGGCTGGTGTCATTGCCATTAGCACCACACCAGGGTCAGAGCCCAGCCAAGGGCATCCTTGCCAACTCCCTTTGCCACCCAAGAGCTGGTGGCCAGCCTGGATGCTTACCTGCGATGGCATGGTTGTGGGGGCCTCCCTGCAGCCCAGGGAACACTGCCTGGTTGATGAGGCTCTCCAGGTTGTAGAGTATCTCCTTGCCTGTCTTGGGGTCCACGCTGCGGGTGCCTGCAGGAGGGGAGAGCAAGGTCACTCAGGAGGCAGGAATGGTGGTGGTTCCTCCTCAAATCTGGGCCATTCTTGGCCATGGAAAGCTCCACAGATGCTCCCAGACCTTCCTGCCCTCCTTCCTTCCCAGCTAGAGCAGGAATAGCTTTAACTTGCAGCCCCCCCAGGCTGCGGGGAGCGTTTCTCCCTGCTCCTCAGCCAGGTCAGGCACCTTTGCGGTAGAAGATCATGCCGGACCTGCAGCCCCGCAGGGTCTTGTGCGTGGTGGTGGAGACGATGTCGCAGTAGTCGAAGGGAGAGGGCACCACCCCAGCAGCCACCAGCCCGCTGATGTGGGCCATGTCGGCCATCAGGTAGGCACCGTTGGCGTCAGCGATCTTCCGCATGCGGGCATAGTCCAGGTTGCGTGAGTAGCAGCTCACACCTGCAGGGAGATGGGATGGGATGGGGATGGGGATGGGAAGACAGCCATGGGTCCAGGCCTACAGTGGGGACAGTCAAGCTGGGGATGCATGCTGCCAGGGTTTGATCCTTACCTGCTATGATCAGCTTGGGGTGGAAGAGCTGGGCGTTTGCTTCCAGCTGGTCATAGTCGATGTAACCAGTCTTGGGGTTGACCTGGGAGAGGAAGAGGAGGGTTCAGTCACCTTGGTATGGGTGACTGAAGATCAAGTGCAGCACCATAATACAGAAGGGGGTGCTGGTGGCGTGACACTTTCAACTCTAAGAGGCACCAACACTTACAACAGGAGCACCCCGGAGCATCTCTCTGTACCTTATAGGGCATGGACTCGAAGAAGATCGAGGTGGCAGAGATCTTCTTTTTTTCTGTCATGAACCCATGGGTGAGGTGGCCTCCATCGGGCAGGTCCAGCCCCATGATCCTGCCGTGGGGCTCCACCAGCGCTGTATACACTGCGAAGTTTGCGGGTGAACCTGCAGCAAGAGCACACCAGGACAGGCAGGGATGAGTGCTGGGGCGTGCAGAGGTCAGTGCAACTGGGCTGGCTCTCCTAAGCACCCCATTACCTGAATAGGGCTGGACGTTGACCCCCCACTTCTGGGGGTCGAGCTGGTACGCCTGCAGGGCTCGCTTCTGGCACAGCCTTTCCAGCTCATCTATGAACTCTGTTCCACCATAGTACCTGACAGGGAAGCATCGAACAGGGGTTAAAACCAAACTCATGACTCAGACCCATCCCAGTGATCAAGCTGGGAAGAAACTGGGATGTTGCTGCCGTTGTGGCAGCCACTGGGAGAGCAGGTGCAGCAGATGTGATGCTGCTGACAGTCCTACATGTGGCCAAGGACAAAAGCCAAGAGGGTCAGAGCGTCCCAGAGGTGAGGCCTGGTGGTTCCTCTCCTTCCATGCAAGGGTTTGGGTTGGGTTGGGCTCAGTTACCTCTGTCCTGGGTACCCCTCGGAGTATTTGTTGTTCATGCAGGATCCCAGGGCCTCCAGGACCGCTCGGCTCGCAAAGTTCTCCGATGCAATTAATTCCAGCCCAAGCCTCTGCCGCTGCTTCTCCTTCTTGATGATGTTGTGCACCTATGGGAGAGGAGAGAAACAGCTTTACCCATGCTGGCTCTGCCACAGGGGATGGAGAAAGGCTTGGAAAGGTACTGCAGGAGGGAGATGAGATCCCTTCTTCGTACAGCTGATCCCAAACAGTTCATCCTGGTTTGGGTTTCTCCCTGCCAGATAATTCAGCTGTCATTTGGGCTTGAGATCCATGGGCAACAGCCACATGGCCTGGTTACTCTGGTGTGGACATCAGAGCTTCAAGCAGAGGGGCATGCGCCGTAGATGTGAAGTTATGACCATACAGATGGTTGGAGGATGTCCTCCCTCTCACCTCCATGCAAAGAGGGCTTGGAATGGGTCCTCCCAGCTCAGCCTTGGGCTGTCTCCCTGCCCCATCCCTCACTTGAGGAGTTCAGTATGAACACAGCTGCTGGGCAGAGGCCAGGAAGGGGTTCTCACCTCTGGGTCATTGGTTTCAAGTGGCTCCATCACCATGTTCCTATGGGAGGCCCAGAGCGCCGTGCTGGGGAGGCCCCCGTCGCCCTGTGTTGAGTTTGCCATCCTCCTGCTGGGTCCAAGGTCGCCTGCCAGTGGAGAGGGGAATTTGTGGGTGCTTCCATACCAAATCCCTACATGCAGCCTGCTCCCATCCCATACCTTCCCTGGAAAAAGGGACTTCCCTGCTAATCTAAGACCAATCCATTAATCACAATGCTTTGGTAATATCTGATTCTCTCCCATCACTGCCTCGCCTGGGCTCCCCCCTCCCAGCTCTGCAGTGCTGATTAAACAAAGCAGGCTGTGTAATTTAAAAGGCAGCAAGGTGCTCATACCCACAGACCTCAGTTTTCATGCACGTTGCATCCCCCCTGGCATGGTTAAACCTCTGCTGCTTTCCCTTGTGCACAGCCATGAGGGCAAACCTCCAGCAGGTCTGAGTGCTGTCCCAAACCCTAACTGAAGTGAGCATAGCTGGAACTGCACCCCGAGAGGCAGCAGCTCTGGCTTCATAGCTCATGTCAAGCCCAGGCCTGGCAGCAGCCCTCTGGCTCCATCAGTGCGACCACTGCTCCTGGGCAGACATGACAGCCCCTCTGCTGCCTTGGCTGAGAACAATGCCTCCTTTTACCCATTAACCATGGGAGGCCAGCAAAGGGCCGTGAGCAGGTTGTTAAGCAACCACGCTTAGTTTGCTCATGCCAAGATGCTAAAGTCTATTCAGTGCAGGCCTGCTGTGCACTGGCCTTGCTGGGCTGCGGTGCTCGGCTGTGCTCCTACCTGAGTCTGAGGCCTCACTGGGCAGGGTGGGAATTCCCACATTCAGAAACGCTTGGGCTGGGCACAGTGCTCTGGGTGGGAGCAGCACGGCTGGGTCCAGCACGTCCCCCCAGCACAGGTCACTGCAGGGTTTGCACCCAGCGCCTTCGGCAAACCTGCAGAGGGCTCAGGGGAAACAAAGCTCCCCATTCCCCAACCAGGGCAAGCCCCCCATTGCCACCCTCTTAGTGGGACACTGGTTTAACCCTGGCAGTGATGAACCCCAGCCCTGAGGCTCCATCTCTGCTTGGCTCTGTGCCCCGCTCATCCCGGCTCCATCACCTCCCGCACCCCCCTGTCCTGACAGCGGTGGTTGGAGACAGCGCTGCCCGCCCGGCTCTCCCTGTCCCTGTCCCTGTCCCTGTCCCTGTCCCTGCCCGCCCCGCACGCCTCCTACCCGCCCGCAGCGCCGCGCCGAAGTTGGGTCCCGCTCTGCGGCGCCTAGCATACCCCGCTCGGACACGCCCCTGAGCGCACTGACCAATCAGCGTCTCGCTCCGCCCCGCTAGCCCGGTGACGAAGCACACCTCTAAGATTATCTAGACCAATCAGCGCCGCGCTCTTCCCCTTTCCCCCATCCTATTGGCCCGCGCCGAGGCGGGGCTGGCGGCGCTACCAGCACGCGGTCGGTGGGGTGCGGGTGACCTTGGCCCTGGCAGGGGCTTTGCTGCCGTCACCCCACCGCTGGCACCCCACCGCTGGCACCCCACTGCTGCTGTCACCCCACTGCTGCTGTCACCCCACCGCTGGCACCCCACTGCTGCTGGCACCTCACCGCTGGCACCCCATTGCTGCCTTCATCCTGCAGGTCCAGCCCTGCTGTGCACCCTGGAGGGCTCCCCACCAGCCCTAGGGTGTTCCCAGCAATCTGGGGGTGCCTCTTGCCCCCCCCCATGAACTGGAGGATGGGGCTCCACCACCCTGCTCTTGAGGGCCTGGCCATGCTGCTGGCCAAAGCCATGTGTGTGCTATGCCAGGCCATAGCATGGGTCAGCCGCTGCTGTGGGGAGCAGAGCTTGTTCCTGGTGGGCATCCTGGTGCTCCAGAGGAAGGAAGCAGCCCTGGGGGGGATGTGTGGTGCAGGCAGGAGAGGGGCCGTGTGTTCTCTGAGCATCAAACCCAAGGGGGCAGATGGGCTCAGGTAACCTGTGGCTGCAGGGATTTGGGGGTTAAATCAGTGCAACCAAAATTGAGGAACAAGATTAGGGAATAAGTGATCCTACTAAATTCCTCGTGATCCCAAGCCATGGCAAAACGGGATGAGGCAGCATGAGTCACTCTGGAGAGGAGCAGTGTCTCAGTGGGGAGGCAGCCAGGAGGTCAGAGCCGTGGGCAGAGTGGGGAAGGAGCAGTGAGAGCTGCCCCTGGGAGCTGCAGAGGTGGGTATGGGAGTGAGGGGAATGGTGGGTGCACTGGGAGCGTGGTGTGAGGGGTTGATGGTTACACCGGAACTCACCTTTAGGGTCATTCTGCTGTTGGAGTGCACCTCCCTGGAAGGTACTTGCTGAAGGTACAATCTTTTGACTCAATCTTTCTCAGTCTTGATGGGTTTTGCTATCTGAATTTGTTAGTGGGCATCTAAAGAAGAGTCATTACAGCAGCAGGGTTTGGGGTTCCCACAGCTGGCCCGTGTCAGATTGCTGCTGTAGGCTGATTTACTGGCACAGGGTGCCCAGAGAAGCTGTGGCTGCCCCATCCCTGGCAGTGTTCAAGGCCAGGTTGGACACACGGAGCAACCTGCTCTGGTGGAAGGTGTCCCTGCCCAACCCAACCCACTCTGGTTCTATGACTATGGAGGTGTTGTTCTGACAGTGCCAATGCCAGCAACAAAACCTGGGTTGTTTTCTCTGGTCACAGTGATTTCTGTGACATGTAGAAGTTACAGAGAAGGATTTATATTAACTAGATACTGTTACACAACCTGGTTTTGCACACACATTTTGTGTGCAGTTACTAGTGAAGATTTTCACCCCTCTGGAGCTGTAGGAGCTGCAGATAATGGTCGTGTGTGCTGTTATGGTTTCAGGACTGCTTGCTCACGATGGACAGCGTCTCTTCTTCCCCTCCACTCTTCTCTGCCAGTTTCCCCACCGACCAGCCTGAGAACACCACTGCCCATGATGAGTACTCCAGCCTCCAGAAGAGCATGCACGTCCTCTCCATGGTGGTGTACAGCGTCGCCTGTTTGCTGGGGGTGACAGGCAACGGCCTTGTCATCTGGATCACAGGCTTCAAGATGAAGAAGACGGTGAACTCAGTCTGGTTCCTCAACCTGGCCATTGCGGACTTCATCTTCACCTTTTTCCTGCCCCTCAGCATCGCCTACACTGCCCTGGGCTTCCACTGGCCGTTTGGGAAGCTCCTGTGCAAGCTGAACAGCACCATCGCCTTCCTCAACATGTTTGCCAGTGTCTTCCTCCTGACAGTCATCAGCATGGACCGCTGCGTTTCTGTGGCCTTTCCCGTCTGGTCTCACAACCGCCGGAGCCCGGAGCTGGCGGCCAGGATCGCGGTGGGGACGTGGGTCCTGGCGCTGCTCCTCAGCTCCCCGTACCTCGTCTTTCGGGACACTGCGCCCAGTTCCAGGAACAGCACCAGCTGCTACAATAATTTTGCCCTGTCTGATGACTACTCGTCCGAGGCAACGCGGAGGCTGTGGAGGATGAGGCATAAAGCCATGATCATAACGCGATTCTTATGTGGGTTCCTCATCCCTTTCACGGTGATCCTTATCTGCTACAGCATCGTTGCCGTCAAGCTGAAAAGGCGGCAGTTAGCCAGCTCTGCAAAGCCATACAGAATCATCATCGCTGTCACAGTCTCATTCTTCCTCTGTTATTTCCCCTATCATGTCTTCTCCTTGCTGGAAATATCCAAAAACTCTTCCAGTCCTGAGATGAAAATGGCCCTTTACATTGGGATCCCCTTGGTTTCCAGCCTCGCTTTCTTCAACAGCTGCATCAACCCCATCCTGTACGTATTTGTGGGGCCAGATTTCAAGGAGAAGTTCCGCCAGTCCATCCTGTCAACCTTTGAAGGGGCCTTCAGTGAGGAGTCGGTCCTGGGCAGCCTCACCAGCCGGAGGAAGTCCAGGTCTGCTTCCGAAGTGGAGATCCCAAGGGTCTGAGCGGGTGCTGGTGTGGAGGGGACAGTTCTTTCTCTGCACTGTCCCCTCATTTCAGAGCTGTAACCACAGGACTGGGGGCTGCAAAGGGCTGTGCTGGCTAACGAAGTGTGACCCAGTGTTTTGGGGGTACATCAAGCATATTATGACTTAGTACACTATGGAAAGGAAACAACTCTGTGGAGCTGCAGCAGTGTGGGTCGAAGTAGTAGCATTTTACTCCCTTTGCTGTTTCCCTGGGGGAGACATCTGGGGACAAATCCTGTTTGCATCTCCGCTGGGTTCACCTGCAGCCTGCGGCACATTTGCACATGGCAAACCACGGGGGGATTTTCTTCCTTGCCCTTACCAGACTTTCCTGGCAGCTCATCTTCACTGGGGCTCCACCAGATGGGAAATCAGGTGCAGCTCCATGTGGCTGCACTGGAGATGTATGGCTGCACCAGCATTTCTTTTGTCCAGAGGAGAAAAGAAGGGAGGGGAAAGCTATTTCATAAGTCCCTGGTAATTAAACTCATCTTTCCTCAGATGAGGTAGGATGAAGTACTGGTTGTGCTCCAGTTACTCAGGTTCAACGGACAGTGGAACTGTTTCTGAGCAATGCTTGGCTGTGTTCGTGTTTGACATGTTTCTGGCCCTTAAATAGCAGAGATCTGACATTTTGCACTACTGGTGAATGAATACTAAATCCCAATAAACTTAAGTAAAACATACTCAGCCTCTTGTGTTGTGATAAAGGACTTGATCCAACCTGAATGAACACACTCGTCTTCAGTAACAGAACAACTAGATAAAACGATTAAATACCCAGAATTTGGAAACAAACCACTGGCATTAGCAGCAAATCCCATGGCTGAAGCAGACAGGACTTGACCCTTGGTGTGAACACTTGGGGCACCCTGTCCTTGTGGATCTGATTGCCAGACCATGGTTATGGCTTTATCGCTGGCTTTCAAAGCTTTTGGTACATTTGAAAAGCATTTGGAGGAGGAAGAACAGCTGAGCTGGGTCTGGTCAAGGTCCACATTTACAGACTGCTCAGGCTAAGATGGTGTGTGTGTGTGTGTGGGGGGGGGTTCTTCCCAGGCTTGATCAGGCTCTGAAACTCTTATTAAGTAGAAAATGATGGTCATGTAAAAGGGAGCGATGGCTGGAAGACCCTCTGGCTCCCAGCCTGAAGAGATGAGTGTACATGTACCTCGCTGCTCTGCATGGATGACGTTACCAAGTGAGAGCTGTCACTTGAAGATGCTGGGATTAATTCTGGGTCTGCTGGGCCATGCAATATTAAATGAAGGTCGTGATCCTACAGGCATGCATGTACTTAACCTTAAATTCATGCATAAACCCACTGAGAACAGGGAGTATAACAACTCCATCCATATGTCAAGCCTGAGTGAACAGAGGGATTTACCCTTTGCCACAAATTGCTGCCTGTCATCCTGATAAGACTGCAATGTTTGCTATGCAGCGTGCAACTCCGGGGCTATTTACTTGCTCCTGGTGGTAAGCTACAGCATCGATTGCCACGTCAAAGTTGTGCAAAGCAGTGTTTGCTCTTTGTGGTGCTTTTTATCTCTTTGCAGAGCTCACGTAATTCCTTGTGACAGGAGTCTCTGAGTGTTGGACCAGGCCTCGGACTCTAGTCATGCTCCTCTCCTCACCCCAGCACCCTTGAAGGGTCAGGACTTGAAGGTAAGAAAGAGAATTTTATGGGTCATTTGGACATCCAACGTGGGTACAGGATTCTCATGGGACAACATCATTTAAGTAAAGCAGAGTACCTAGGTGATGTAAGGAATTACCATTGGAATACCAGCAGGTATCTAACCAGGGCTCCATCTCCTCCTGGTACCCCAGCCAAACCCAGCACACCTCTTGAGCAGTAGCTCTGATGTCTTCAACTCCAGACCCGAGACAAAGTTGCTCCTTCTCTCTCTTGCAATATCCCCACCAAGGAAGTTGCTTCCACTCTAAGCAGCACGTTATTACACCTAAGGAAAACAGTGTGTACTTAGAAGATTAATGTCTCCCTGCATGGTGGGGATGGATGGAGAAAGCTTTCAGACTGCCATTCCTGAGAACCTGCCAAATTCTGCTGGGAGCAAAAAGGGGGAAGTGAACGTTTTATCAGTGGTAATGGCCATTGCTGTATTGCTGAGAGGTGGGTCTGTCATCTCGGGTCTGATCCCTTTGTGCAATAAGAAACCATGCTGACATCAGTATGGGGGTCAGGCTGCCAAGGGACTGGTTCCAAAGTAAATCTCCTGTTGTATTGAGCTCCCTCCTATTCAGACTATTTCATTATCACAGTGATAACTGTGAGAGTCCTTCATTCCCAACTAGGAAGCAGGCTGTTCCTTCCCTCGGATCCCTCTGTTTATGATGTGCTTATCTAGAAAAGATTGGACAAAAATAAAAAGGGGGGAAATCTTTTCCAAAGGCATGGAAATAATCCAGAGAGGCTGAACAACTCCTGTGGCAGCTGCGTGCTGCTGTGACACAGCTCTGCTCTCAAGGCTCTTGTGGATGGGATGGGATGGGATGGGTGGAACAGCCTGAACCCCCCAGTATTTGCAGTCATTGAGAAAGGAGCTGAACCCGCTGCCCTGCTGGCACGAGGCCCTCATTGGTCCCATGGAGGGGCTGATCCAACAGCCCTGCTCATACAAATCTGGGGTGTGCAGAGCCATTGGGCCTGAGGGGTTTAGGCAGAGCTACTAGGGCCTGTGCGGTTTGGCTGTGTACAGCCAAAGGGAGCCAAGGAGGACATAGCAAATGGTAGTTCAAGAGGAGAAGGTATTTTCTCCTCAGGACCTGGATGAAAGCATGGAAATAGAAACTGGGCTCAGAATGGCTAAGAGGGTGGAAGGAGTGGCAACAAAAACCAGCAGGTGATGGTAGGTGTAAATGAGTGGGAGGGAGACTGCAGCAGATCAGGAAGATCTCATTAAGGGGAACTTAATGAGACTATAAAAGCCACTGTGAAAGTCAGCAGCTCCCAGGCCTTTCCTCTGGTGAACCTCTTCTGGTGAGTAATGTTTTTAAGTGTCCTACTCTTGAGTTTGGGGAACTGACTTGTTAGATAAGGTCAAGCAAAAGACAGCACACGGAGGTCTGATAGAAGAGCCTCTTCCAGAGGTTGCTGAAGTCAGGCAGGAAGCAATGTGGAAAATTAGAGGGCTGGTACTGGTAAAAAGCTTCTCTGTAAGCAGAGCTATTGGCGGTGCTGTTAGCCTGTGGTGCAGGCCAAGCCTTACCCAGGTCTCCCAGCCTTTCTATGTAGCAGATGTGTGTGGATTCCAGCCAGTGAGGGAATTAATGTATTGATCCAGAGCAGTTCCTGGTTGGTACAAACTGGGGAGCATCTGGGGTGCTCTTTGCTGGCTGAAATTTGCTTATTCCCTGCACCTCTGGCAGCTTCCAATTAGCTGTGTGGGGTAGGGCTGGTAGCAAACCTTTCCTCCACATCCCCCAGTCTCTCTGTGCACCTGCACATGCAAAGTGCAGGATCTCTTCTGCCCATAATTCAGCTTTAATTTGTAAGCTTGCTCTGCAGTGACAAACTCAAGCCCTTCCTGTATGTTCACTCAGTGCCTATACAGGGTACAATGCTCGTGCTCTGTTTGAAGAGGAGCTGTTACAGTGCAGTAAATGTCAAGTCACGCTAGAACCCAGTAGGTAGGACAGAGAAGAATGGGCACTAATTAGTGTTTGGCATTAACTAATTATTCCAGTTCTTAAAATGCCATGGATTCACTGTCCAGTTCAACCACCTATTTGTCTAAAGGCAACTCAAAGGGCAAAGCCCATCTGCAAACATGGAGGTGCTGGATGTTATCTGTCAGTTAAGCAGACCTTGTAGGGCAACTGCCCACCAACACAGCAAAGCAAAGAGCATCTGTGACCAAAGCAAGAGGCACTGCTGCTGGCCCTTGTTTTAGGGCACTGTTTGTTCAAATCCTTGCCCTCTCATCCAGGTTGAGCTGTTTGTGCAGTGACTTGTTAAACAGCAGGTATTCCAACAAGCCTCTCATCCCTCTGTTTGAAGGCTGGTTGGAAATAACCCTGTGCTCATACTGAAGCAGCAGCTCCGTTACTCATTGCAGACTGAGCCAGAATGAAGAGTGTGGTTAGAAACAGAGGAACAAACAGCTCAGTGAGTCTTTCAGCCAAAGCTTCATGACTCAGGAGGAACAGGATGGTAACAACATGAGCTGGTGCCTATTTCCTGCAGACAGCCAAGCCACGGCTAGGTAGTGAGATCTAATATAAAGCAATATGAGAGTGCTCTCTATTTACTCAGACAACATTTGTTCTCTGCTCTGGGGCCTTTTTCTAAGACACTCTGGTTCCCAGATGTGGGGAATGCTATTTCCCAGATGACTCCCAAGAAATGATACTCCTCCTTCCCTTGATTTACAGCTGCTTTGAGTTCTGCCTCCCTCATGGTAATATCCAAGCCAGGAAATTAGACATGTTTGTTCCCAAGGCAGTGAAGCTGAAGGCACAGGAGGGAGGTGGTGGCCATTAGGCTGTGTGTGGAGGTGCTTGTGCTGCAGATCCTCCCAGTAGGCTCTGAGGGGCTGTGTGAGATAGAGAATGCTTTTGGGATACCTCATAGGACTGAGCATTGGGTGAGACCAAACCTCTTCACAGGGCTCCGTTAGGATCAGATCAAAGCATGCCTTTGGTGTAGCGTGTCTGATGATGTTGCTGTCAGGCAGTTCGGTAGGTGAGCTTTAACATCCACCTTTGGCTATGAGAAACCAACCCAAATCAAACAAAAAAAAAGCCCATCTGCCTGAGCAGTGTTGGATGGAGCTCAGGAAACTGGATGGCAGCAGTGTTTGTCTTCTCTCAGGTGATGGGGACAGGCTGTTACCCAGCCAACCTTGGCTGGACTAGGTGCACAGGGTAGCATCTGGCTTAAGAGCAACAAATCTCTGTAAGCCAGTATTTCACAGGCAGCAAATGTTTGGAATTCCTTAGCTGACTGCTAATTGAATCCTTGTAAAGGAAATCAACCCCGGGTGCTCATCCTGGAGCAGCCCTTTGTTAAACTCTTAGCATGTGGGTAGCATATTGTAAAATTAACAAATCCCTCTCTCTTGGGAGCTGTGATTTAAACTCCATTGCTCTGGCCAGGCAAACAGAGGTGGGGAAGAAATGGATTTGCTCTAAGCAAACAAAGGCAGTAGCCTTCTAAAAAGGACCAGAAAGAATCTTTCAGTTCCTGGTCCTGTGGTTTGCTTAAGCAATGGCAGGAATTTGGGACAGCACAAATCAAGCAGTCAGCAAATTCTGGGTGCCCTAGGGTATTGAAAAATGCTTTTGGGGAAGGCTGCTGATTGCGTTAATGGTCAATGCTTTGCTGTGTGTTGTTTCTAGCTGTTCTGCCTTAAACTGTTCTGCCACACTACCCGGTAGTGAAACCCTGTGTAAAGACTGATGCTGAGGGGGAAATCTCTGCTGCTCTGTGAAGAGGTTAACAAAAAGCTTAAAGCTCCTTCCCGGCTGTCCAAAAAGCCCCAAACCAACAAAAAATAAACCCCTATTACAGTCAATTACCCTGAACCAACAAAAGAAAAATAGACTGAATGGGATCATAAAATGGTTTGGTTTGGAAGGGACCTTAAAGATCATCCATCTAGTTGTGAGGTGTTAGGAGAGGTCTATTCTCAGACCCTTAGCTGCAGTTCAAAGAGCCTCT